TTAAAAAATAAAAACTATGTAAATATATTGATATAATAAATATTTATTGTGAGATATAATTATTTTAACACATTGATGTACAAATTCTATATGCAAAACATTTATTTTTGTTACTTTATGTATATTTATATATCAAAAATACTATATATATAATTTTAAAAAATTAAAATTAAGTATCTGGTTCAACAATTGACCCGGTGACCCGGTGGTTGAACCGGTGACCCGGAGACCTGCCCGGGTCGATTTCGGGGCCGGGTTTAAAAACTATGTCCAATACAATTTGGATTATCGTATAGTCAAAAGGAATAAAATGTTACAAATTAACTATAAATAGTCACGAAGTTTATATTGTATTTTATCGAACAAAATGGACTGCAAAATCAAAATACACGTACAATACATTTCTATTTGTTGCAAAAAAAAAAAAAAAAAAAAAACTTGTAAAAAATGTGATATGTATCGAATCCAACAATAATAAATTCTTGCTTTTAAAATAATTGTAGTAGTGGTAAGTAGAGTCGTATCCACGGGGATTGGCTAGACAGAATAGTGATACAACTATTCGTGAAAGAAATAAAAATAAAAATAATGTAGGGTTATATATGGTGATTTTATCCAACTAAGAAAAATAAATAAAATAAGATCTAAAGAAACATAAAAACAAAACAAGTGAACCAAGCTGACAAAATATCCAACCAAAGAGAAAACTCGTAGAGATGGTTCAATGATTCGATCACCACGAATGCAAAGATAATTCTCATATTCTCGATTAAATTGATTATGGTTATTGGTATGACCTAACAAAGTTCGATAATCAGAATATGATCTCTAATTATTTTTCTAATCAACAGATAATCCTAGATACGATCATAGGATTTAATCTATCAACAACATTGAAATCTAGAAGGACCAGCAATTCTAGCCAACAAACGCACATATAAGATCATTTAGACTTATCATATATCTCCCTAAGCATACAATCGAAAACCCTCAGTAATCAACTATGCTATTTGCCACAAATATTAGAACGATCAAATAATTACGAATTTAACCGTCCTAAATAACGATGTGCGTTTCAACAATCGAACAAGTGACCATTTTGCATCAATCAATCAAACCAAAATTAATAATAATTAATCACAAGATATATATAAATAAAAGATAATGAGAGAATATAAATTAATTATATCTCACAAATCATAAAGAACCAAATCCAGATTATCATTTGGCTGGAAAAATAAATTAATAACATAATAGTCTTCTCCCAATTATTCATAAAAAATAAAAGAGTAAAATGAAAGAAAATAAAAGAGAGAAAGGGCATGAGAAGAAGAGAAAAAAATAGAAATCTCGCACTCTGATTTTTAATCAAACCAGTCTAATCCTCATCCTAACAGAAAACACGTAAAAAAATAAGAAATACCTCTTTTTAAAATATCCTAATAAAATATAATAGTTCATAAATAAATAAATACTTCGTCTTTTATTTCTCTTTCTAACTAAAGACTCATCACTTCTTCCAAACTCAGGTAGAAAATTTGCGTGCTCACGCCTTAACTTGAATTCGTCTCTTTCGTTCACCAATCATCGTAAAATTTCAAATTTCGAGATCTCCTACAAAAAATTATAAAAATCAATTAAAATCAGTAATTAAGTTCAAACAAACATAAAAAAAAGTACGAAAAACATGACAATTAACATTCCAAGAATACGACTTATCATAATGTGTACATTAGATATCAATATCATTTTCTGTTGCAACCTGAATTCTTTATTATTGCGGTCTGATAAGCCAAACTTCCATTTTAATTTTTTAAACCTCAATTAGAAAGTTCTATTGTTGGGGGATAAAAAAAAAAGTAGCTATCCATCTAAGTCTTGCATTTAACGACCAACCAGCTATTGTATCAAAAGTCAAATTAAATAGTAACAAGTTAATTATACATATGTATATTTGTTGATCAGTAGCTTATAAAATGGGTGTCACTGTTATCTAGCTACTTATTTAGAAAAATGGCTGGTCACATTTTTAGAACTAATAAATGTGAACTATAGTGGTGGAAAAAAGACTCGTGGTAAATATTTGACAACTTTGGCCAATTTAATCAAATCCATTTAATAAAGGTACTATGGAGATCAATGTATTACACATGCATAAGTCTAGAGTCTCATGTAATAAAATGCTAGTTCTGCGAAAACGTAAACATAATAACTACATGGTCTTAATAAATGACATGAAATGCGTGTCAAATATCCACTGCTCATGACCACGACTAGGTGCTCACGCGCCTACTCCGTCACCTAAAAAACAGTCAGGGGGGCGTGAGCAAAACCACTATGCTCCGCAAAGATCGGTATTGAATAAAACAGCATCATTAATAACAATATCATGACTTAGTAAGTTGTTTGGTTTTCTAGGAATAGAAATGAATCAACTTTATTTTTATCTCATTTACATTTTTATCTTATTTTTATCTCATTTACTTTATTAGTAACTACAAACTATAAAGAAATATATTTTAAAAAAAAACAAATCAAATAAATTAGTTTGAAAAATACAAACAATTTTTATCTCATTTACTTTACGAACATAGAAATATAAATTAGTTTTAAAAAAAAAAAAGAAAAAAAAAAAATCATCGAGGACATTTGAGAACGGAGGTTGACAAATCGGGGTTGACACATCTCAAAAACAAAAAGTAAAAAGGGTTGTTCTTCTCCTCTCAAACAAATTGCAAATAATCTAAATTCAACCCAAACACATCTCAAGGTGGGAAAAAAACATCATTTCCAACATGTTTTTCTCCATTATTGTAACTAGTATTGTTGCCCGTGCAAAATGCACGGGAGTTACGAAAAAAAATTATTAAAAGAACATTTGCAATTCATATAATGCATAACCGTTAAATATTATTGAACATTTCTCTATATATAACGTTTTTCGTCTTTGAGGTATTTTTATCATCACAAATTAATATTTTCAATCATTTTACATCTGTAACTCGTGAAACAGGCAAACAGCGACATAAAGTTGGCCATGCGTAAATACAAATTTCGTCAGGTATAACATTCATATAAATTACTCTTCAACAACTAAAATATATATTTTATTTTTGATATACATAAGATATAATTACCGATTCATGCAGTAAATACAGAGTTCTTCCGGTATAACATTCATATAAATTAATCTTCAAAAACTAAAATATATATTTTATATTTCATATGCATATGATATAATTAACGATCAATTTTAGCCAACTCGAAAAAATTTTAGAACTTATACATAAACTTCGAGAAATTTTCATGTTGAAGTTCACCATAAAATTTATCTTGAATCTTGCCATAATAGTTTTATATCTACCGTCATTTAATGCTACAATTGTAAAGTGTGGATAACAGTGACTTCAAAACGTTTGAACAAAACTAAATGAAATTTTTGATTGAGGGTTGAATTCTATATCCTGTAAAACCTTACAAACACAAATATTAGGAAATAAAATTAAATAAAATATGTATAATAACTATTTATAAACAAAAAAATGCCTTAAAAGAATCACCTCGCAGTCTCGGTATTTGGGTCTTAACCTCGGAGTCGTGGAATCTCAATTCCAAGAAAATGTTATTTTAATCTTGGAAGCAGTCCTTTCATCGCATCACGGACTTTGATACTCCATATGGTAAAATAATGAATTGCGTATAAACTACCACATATATATCTTACTAAATAAAAAATAATATAGTGAAAGGTAACGATTCAAACCACGAACAATATAACTTTCAAACGTGTGTATTTTTAATAACTTCACTTACATGGTTTTACTGTATTTTTAATTAATTTCCACATGATAGACGTGTGTTGTGTTAATATTTTTAATAAAAATAAACTCGATGAACTAAATAAATACAAATTTTTGTATTAAAAAAATGAGTAACAACTGATGAATGTGTCAAATCATTAAATAATAGTGTTGGTAGTTATCGATAAATTAAATAAATATTATTTGAGGTAGTTAACATTATTATAAATATGAACACATGTCAAAAAATGTGAAGGCTTTCTCAAAATAGTATGAGTATTGTAGGACCCACATAACATTTTCAAAAAATAGCAAGTGAGTTGTCTAATTATATAGTAAATAGATTGACGAGAAACTTCATATTAACCAAAAACCAACTTACAATAAAGTTTCCACAACTCCAACAATGTCAGAA